TCCTCGTCTCCTTCCAACGCGAGAGAGTCTTCCGACTTTGCGAGTTCGGCGAGAGCATCTTCGGTCAACTGTGCGGCGGGGAGACTGAGGCGAGTGCGCTGGGAGATGACTTCGGGGTCGTTGACTTTGCTGATCTGAGGAGATGGTGAGTCGGATGATGATGATGATGGAGATGGAGCTCACGGCATCGATGTGTGCGGGTAAGTTCTTCTTCTCTCTCTGCTTCGACTTTTTCGCGTTGTCCTTCTTGTCTTGCTCTTCGTCTCTCTTTCGCTTGACTCCGGTATCGATCTCATCGATGGACATTCCGGCCTTCTGGAACGGTTTCTCTTTGTCGGGATCTTCCTCGAGATTGACCTGCGATCGTGTCACACCGATCCTCCATTGATATCATCATTTCACATCGTCACATGTGATCTCGTCATAAGAATGTTTTATCTCACCTCGTAGAAACCTGGAGGTGGTTTCTTGAAGAAGGGGATCTCAGAGTTGTAATCGATACCCCTGATCTTCTTCTTCATCTTGTTCACCGTGATTCCGGCCGCCTTCAACTCTCTCCTCTTCTGCAGAGAGGCGAGCCTTCTGGCCTCCTCCAACTGCTTTTCTCTGGCCTTCCTCTTTGCCTTCTTTCCTTTCGTGTTGGAAAGACGAGCACGCGCTTCGGAAAGCATCTCCTTCTCATCTTCGTCCATGTCCACCGGATCAGGCTTGGCCGGCTTCGATTCGGGGTTGGGATCGATTTCTCCGGGTCGTAGACGTCTGGGATCTTCTGCGGCATCGTAGGATTCTCCTCTGAGATGAGTCAGATGGAGTTGGGTGTGAATCGATATGGAAGATCTGATGATATGATTATCCGTACTTGTTTTGAGCGGCGTCTAATAGTTTCTCGTAATGTTCTATACACTGAGAAGCCGTACGTCCCACAGCAGGGGCGATAGTTCTCCATTGGTTGGGCATGATTTTAGCCAGATGCAGAAGCTTCTCTTCTTCTTCTCTCGACCACTCGGTCTTCTTGATAGAAGGGTCCAACCACTCTTGCCACCTGGCTTTACATTGCTTCGCACTCTTCCTTGTGAGGAGGGAAGATATACGGGCCCATTGGTTCTTTCCGTACTTCATGACGGCGGCCTTGAGGATCTCATCCTCTGTATTCTTCCAGACACCTCCCTTCTGTTGTATTCTCATCTTGCCTCCCCCTGAATCTGAAATGTGATGTTCGAATCACCTGTTGCTTCAGAATTTTCTGAACATTTTCGAGATGAACAATAAAAGGAAACTATCGCTTTTATTCATGAGGATGTAAAGAGCCCATTCATTCGATTGAAACGAGTTTCATTTGGATGAAGCCTGCCTGATAGACGACAAACCTGCGCCATGATCACGTCCCTAGAGCAGTTCAAAGAGGAACGTGCTTCCCTAGTCAAGAAAGAGAGAGAAGAGAGATTCGACTCTCAGGCGTATCGAGATGCATCGCAATCGGCTCTCCTCGCGGACGATGTCTTTAAAAGGAAGAGAGAGAAGGAGAAGAGGGAGGTGTGGGCTGATGATGGCGTCACGACACCTCAGCTGAGTGAGGCGACACAATGGAGCATAGGGTGGATGCCTGGCACTCACTACCACTCCGCCAGAGAACAGATTCTGGAGTCTGATGTCTTTCGGATGATGAAGGACCTACCCAAGGGATGTCTACTCCATCTGCATTTCGATGGCTCAGTCCCCACCCACCGTCTATTGACATGGACCTTCGAAGAGCCTCTCTTCTGTATCAAATCTTCCAAACCCTTGTTGACACTGCAGGATCTGATGGACGCACCATTAGACATTTCGATCAGTGTCGCTGTCATTCCAATAGCACAGGTGACACAGTCACTCACCCTTCACTGTCTCACGATCGTTGTCTTCAGGTCGAACGATTGAGAGAGAGTCTCAAAGATCCTGCGAAACTGAAAGAACACCTTCCTTGGAGTTCATCTTACGTCTGTGACTCTTGGTGTCCTTTAGACATTGCATCGTCTCACATGCCCGCCGAGCTGTCGAAACTGGCCGTGGAGAAATTATACATGGCCTCCGAAGAGAGGTCTGAGGTGTGCATCACACTTTCGAGATCGTGGAGTTGATCTTACGTCAGGTCGTGCATCACCCTCATTATCCCATGATGTGTTGGATCTATTCCGTAGTCACTCTCTCTCCTCACGACGTTCACATTCGTTGTCTCACCCCCAATGCTATCTGGAAGAGGTGTGTTCCGCCCAAATCGATCGCGTGACGCTTGAGACAGGTTCCAGCTCTGCTTCGGTGTCTTACGAGGTATGACTTATCACGGTCCCTTCTTGAAGAGATACATCAAAGAGAACTTGAGCTATGCTGCCAGCGAGCACATTTACTACCAAGAATTTCGAGTCAACTTCCTCTTACCCACGATGACAGACGAGAGAGGTGAAGTCGATTGATGTCAACGAAAGATCGATTTTCATTTTATTCAATTTTATTTCTACAGGTGAAAACAGTGTGAGTCACGATGATTGGATGGACATCTTCCAACAAGTTTTAGACGAGACACCCAGAACAAAGATGTGAGTCCTTCTCCTCTCATGAGATACTGACTGGAATCATCCAGTTTCTGGGGCTACAAGATCATCTTCTGCACCATCCGATCCATCGATCGCGACATGATGAGATCATCCATGGACGAATGCATCCGTCTGAAACTCAAATATCCGAATCTAATCTGCGGCTTCGACATGGTTGGACAGGAAGACAAGGGGCACCCCCTCTCTTACTTTGAAGAAGAGCTGTGGCAGTTCAAACGGAAACAGATCGAATCCAAAGTCGAGGTATATGACAATCTACAACGTTGTAGATTGACGATATCAGATCCCCTTCGTCTTTCACGCCGGAGAAACCCTCGACGACNCTCTGCTTTGGTGTCTTACGAGGTATGACTTATCACGGTCCCTTCTTGAAGAGATACATCAAAGAGAACTTGAGCTATGCTGCCAGCGAGCACATTTACTACCAAGAATTTCGAGTCAACTTCCTCTTACCCACGATGACCGATGAGAGAGGTGAAATCGTTTGACGTCGAAGAAAGATCGATTTTCATTTTATTCAATTTTATTTCTACAGGTGAAAACAGTGTGAGTCACGATGATTGGATGGACATCTTCCAACAAGTTTTAGACGAGACACCCAGAACAAAGATGTGAGTCCTTCTCCTCTCATGAGATACTGACTGGAATCATCCAGTTTCTGGGGCTACAAGATCATCTTCTGCACCATCCGATCCATCGATCGCGACATGATGAGATCATCCATGGACGAATGCATCCGTCTGAAACTCAAATATCCGAATCTAATCTGCGGCTTCGACATGGTTGGACAGGAAGACAAGGGGCACCCCCTCTCTTACTTTGAAGAAGAGCTGTGGCAGTTCAAACGGAAACAGATCGAATCCAAAGTCGAGGTATATGACAATCTACAACGTTGTAGATTGACGATATCAGATCCCCTTCGTCTTTCACGCCGGAGAAACCCTCGACGACGGCGGTCCGGTATGTCCGTCTACAACCAGCCGATTCTGACATCCAACAGGTGGACCACAACCTCTATGACGCCATCGCCTGGGGCACAAAGAGGATCGGCCACGGCTTCTCCCTCTATCGCCACCCACACCTCATGCGAACTTGTCATCAGAGGAACATCGCCGTCGAATGTTGCCCGATATCGAACGAGCTGCTGAGACTCACGTCCTCTATATTGACCCATCCTCTATCGTCGTTGCTGGCCAACGACGTACCCCTGTGTCTAAATTCAGACGATCCATCCATATTCACGAACGTCGGGCTCAGTTTCGATTACTTTCAGGTGAGAGATGAGCACACGTCCACGAGTTAAGAGGTGCAGCTGTTGATCGCGAGCGAATCGACGTCTCTGATTGGAGCGGGGGAGCTCGGGAGGAGGAGTATAGAGTACAGTCTGATGGACGATGCCGAGAAAGAGGTCGCCAGGGGATATTACGAAGAGCTGTGGGAGGAATACTGCAGAAGAGTGTGCGACGAATAGATGATGTGGTCCATGTGTATGTGAATGGAGGACGAGAGAGAAACTTTTTACATCAAGAACAGTGAGAGTCGATGTGCCGTTCGATCATCGCCGAATCACCATTCTAAGAGAAGTTCCAGACTGGCTCTCTCATCGTGACCGACTCCATCTGGAGGATCACCGTGGATGCCAGCAAGTCGTTGCATCTTGAGAGTTTGATTTACAAACCCAATCAGACGGGTTTACATTTTCGTCTTCCATGTTCGTCAGTGGAATCGCTGCAAACATCACGTCTTCACTTCGTCTTCTCTTCTGCTCGTGTCGGTGTGATCAGTCTGACATAGTTCCATTGTAGATTGCGGCTTCAAAATTCAAAAACGGTTAGAAAGGAGGGAAAGCCGCCGGGCATCTCACAGATTTTCCAATGGTATACCAGCGGTATCTCTATATATAAGGGAGGATCGTCTGAGCTGGTCGAATTGAGAACTCGAATCTCTCTTTATAATGCATTATGAAACCTCGGAATGGCTTCCTCTGATGCTGCCCTTCTGGATATTGATTCTCTATCAATACTAGACCTCTGGATCTTTGCAACTCACTCGCCATTTCTCTCCGCAATGCCGCCCTGAGGCAACCACTTCACACAATGATCTTTGTACTCAAAGCCACCATTGATCTGAAAGTTCACATTGATCCGATCTCTCGATCTGGCCGCACAGGTGCCCCACACATCCGGACGCATTTACACTCCCTTTTGCACTCTTTCAAATACCTTGAACCGAAGGACATCACCTCCTGCACCTCATTCCTCTCATCTTACCGAGTGAGTCCAGATCCACCTCTACTACTCATTTAACTCTCGCCAGGGCAGACAGAACCGTTTTTTACTGAAGGATAATAATTCAATATGTTTTGATCACATTTGTTTTGGTGGCTGACATTGGCGGGCACTACACCACTCCTCGATAGTATAGTGGTGAGTATACAAGCCTGTCAAGCTACGTACAGATCGCTTGGGACCCGGGTTCAATTCCCGGTCGGGGAGCTCTTTTGTCATTCAAGACCTTGAAGACCTTGTGGTAGTCTCCCTATTTTACACGTTTTCTCCACGAATTGTGATATTTTAGTCGATTCTGAGAGAAAGATCGCTAAAATACACATAAAAGCAGTGGAATGTTGAAACAACGATGTGAAACGAACGGAAATAGCGCTAAGAAGTATAATGTAAATAAAGCATAAAAGATGACTTTAAATAGATGATTTACTGTTCTTTTCTCACTCGACGCTCATCAGTGATCATCGTGAGTGATGCGATGTCGAAAATGTCGAGATCCGTGTTCGACGAGTGAATGAACGATATTACGAAAAAACAAATTTCTCATTGTAGACTTGCCAAGATAGGATAAGAATACGACTGCAGTATTGAGAAGGATCCATCTTATTTTCCAAAGATTCTCCTTTTCAGCACCTTTGACCGAAAGAGGACAGCTACCCCAGACCTTAGAATCATCATTCTACGTGACGCGATGCCTTTGTTGTCTCTCAACGGATCGACTTAGGTAGAAACGGCCACCTCCAGATGGAGTCGTAACTTAATTTCTCTTAATCTGCAGATTTCACACCCCTCCTGCGTACTCCGCTAGACTTTTTTTCCTCCTCGCAGACAATCTGCCCACAATGGTAGATTCGCTCCACAAAGAGGCCCGCGACACGACAAGTAACGCGAAGCTTCACGGTAAGCTCCACGACAGAGTGAGCCACTCTCATCCCTCATAATCAACTCTCTCGACAAACAGCAAGCAGCAAACATGAGAGTAGCCATCGCCGTAGCCGTAGTCGTCTTCTGCCTCGCCTTCTCTGCCGCAGACCTCACTGAGGACTTTCCTCAGCCACCTTACAACTTTGTATCGACCTGGGTGAACGGCACCATCACCAGCCTGACTTGCCCTGCCGACTGTGGCAACCCCGACACGAAGCACTGCCTGTGGAACGCTGCCATCCAGGACACTTGCTCTGCAACGTACGCCGAGAAGAGAGTGGAGCACAAGAGACAGACTAGATGCCAGCAGCTTCACTACTGCGGACCCGTCTGCTACTCGGATGGACAGGGAGGCTACGCTTGCGGCTGCGTCAGCTGTGGAAAGAAGTAGATCGAGATGATCCTGTACCGTAGAGTCAACAGTATTATAAAAACGATAACGCTATCCCCTGTTGTTCGCGTCTATATTTCGCTGATAGGATAACGTTATTCCACTTATTTGGCTTGAATTCTTTACATTCTCTCTGTTGTTTATTCATCGTTATCAGGATTCGTGGTGTCCAAGAGACTCTCGTCGAAGGCGGTGGTAGTCTCGTTGTTATCCTCTAAATCCAGCTGTCTCGAATAATCTCGAATGATGTCTGCATCCTCCCTCGTCAGCCATGCGGGAAGCTTCTCTCTCCACCTGAATAGAATAAATTCATTTTCGTCCCATTTTAAAGTCGGGAGATGATGTCTGAAGAACATGATGATGGTGATCGAAGACATGATGATGTGATCGAAGACATGATGATGATATGATACTCACTCTGGTTTGTTTCGTAAGACGATGACTGCCACTAAGACAACGACCGCCATGCTGACCAAGACAATGAGAACGACCATGGACACAAAGACAAACTGTCTGTGTCATTCTCCTTCTCCTCTTTCGTCTCACCTTTCTCGCTCCAGATACGCTACCACTGCACGGTACTTCCTTTGGTAACAACTTCAAGCTCTTCGGATGATCGTAATCACACTTGGTGTGTCCCACCAGGATGTACCTGAGACGATTAAATTTCGACGATCTACAACGGTGTAGATGCTCACCCCTTCGTGACGTTGCGGGCGCCGTTTATGCAGGGATTTTCTTCGATTTTACAATCTTTCACTGGCTCGCAGACACCCTGGAACGACCGCAGGAAACATTCTTCACTGTCATCGTTGTAGACGGAGAATAAAATGAAATAAAATCGACCCACCACTGGTAATCCTCGTGACGGCAGGGACAGGGTGTCCTCTTTGGTGGAGGTACACCTGCTTCCGGAACGAAACAATCAGAATCTGCCTTCTTCCTCTGGATCATGAGTGTCTCTCCGTTTAGACATTGTTCAGACAAAGTGACAGTGGCATCGTTGTCTCGTGGTGTGAACGGCTCGAAATCATCATCACCACCTGTGTTCGTTGAGAAAAACGGAAGAAAATTCGAGTTACGTACAGATGCGTCCGTCGTGGACTCTGGCGAAATCTAGGAATACTACAACGCCTTTTCCGTCGCGGGTGCCGTAAACGACGAACGTTTCAGAAGTGAAGGTGGGTTCAACTTGGACGTTGTCCACCGTGATAGCTCGATCTACAACGGGACAGTCCAATAGCTCGGTCTTTCCCTGATTCAACGTATACCTGCCACGAGTCAGTTCGGAATTCCGACACAAAAATTCGGAAACTCGGAATTCCAAATCTCACTTGACGCTGGTTGTGGGAGAGAAAGAGTCGGCTAGGACGATAACGGAACCGTAGTCTCCAAATTCTCCAAAGAGGGAAGTGTCGCTGATCTTCTTCCAGGTCCACCCGGCATCCCTGGACAAGTACGTACGAGCGGCACCCGCGGACGTGTCTAAATATTCACCGACATTTCCCGTTCCGAGAACGATTCCGACGGCACTCTCGCGGGTGTGCACGGGGCCGGCTCTGGTTTTAAGGTTTAGCGGAAGAATCCGGAATATCGGAAGAACTCACCGGTTGAAATTGGCGGCGGAAGATTTTCGTAGGCCGAATAGATTGAGACGGTCTCCTTGTCTGGCGGGGCTGGGTGCCGGAAGATTCTCCCATGACCCACCCTTATCATAGGTGATCTGCGTGTCGATCTCGTCTGCAGAGTGTCCCAATTGATTGGCCATGAAGATACCCTCTAGACCCTTGAATCGGGCGAAATCGGGGCCGTCGCTGTTTTCGATGAGTTTTCATCGAATTTTTGCGATGCGCCGGAAGAATTAGAATGCGCCGGAGAAATAGGGGTACGTAGGATGAACGTTCGGTACGTCGGAAGATCGGATAAACTCTCACGCCGTGACTCGGTTCTTCCACATAGACGTAGTGTACTTGTACCCATCGTCGTCCGACACGTAAAGTGTACCGTACGTCTGATCTTGTCCGTGTACAACTGTCATGAAGACAACCCCTTCGTCCAATTCCGACATGATCCAGTAGTTCTATTCTTCCGTCATTTTTCCGAAATTCCGCGGAAATTTCGATGAAATCTCACGTTCTCCTCCAGCTGGGTGGGGTAACGGGTCTGCTGCCAATTCTCTCCATCATCTCGGCTGATGTACAAGGATAATTTTCCGTTCTTCAGAGTGGCGAGGTAGACCGTCTGTGGCAGAGTCAACAGCTGCCAGCCATTCTCTGGCACGTTGTAGCCCCAGGTACCACGAAAGAAATCGAGTGTTCGAATCGTCTGGAGTTGGTCTGGATTGGGGCTCTCGGGTTGGTAGCCCCATTTGAGCTACAATGGGTAAATATCGTAATCACGTATGTTTTCGGCACGTTGTAGAAGGAGAAATAAAATAGAATAAAAGTCACAGAGATACACATGTTCTCTATAAAAATAGAGACGTCGACAGAGACATATGATAGAGATGTAGACGTTGTATAGACATAGAAGATGACCCACGTTGTCTTTGTACTCGATGGACCATATAGAATGGCTCTCCTTTGAATAAGTAGAAGGTAAACCCCAAGCCCAATCGTGTACGTACTTCCTCTTCTGAGTCCACGTGACGCCGAAGTCTGTGGATAGGTACAACTGAGATGTGTCAATCTACAACGAGGCAAGATGACGAGGTGGAGGCGTACCGATCGGTAGCGGGAGGTGAGGGTGCTCTCCCAAGTGCTGGCCAACAGCCAATCGAAACGGCTGATGGAGGTCATGCGATGGACGAGACGATGATGATGATTGGATGATGATGGATGATTAGATGGACGTGATACGATGAAGAATTGATGATGATGTGAACGTGTTGGTGGATGAGATGAGATGGTTTGACTCACGTTGGATGGACTCGGACCTTCTCGAAAGTGGGTGTCGATGCGTAGGTGAAGGTCTCTCCTCTGTCTCTCGTGGCCCAAAATTTATTTGGAGAATAAAAGTAGACCTGGATGATGAATGAGATCATCTCATTCAGCTTTGATCGAGAGACAGAAATGAGATCGAAATGGTTACCGTCTGATTGTGCAATGACTCAACGACGTTGGTCACACCGGCTCCAGCGTTGTTGAGTTTGTACATGATGTTCGTCCATGTCTTTCCATCGTCGGTGCTACGAAAGATCTTTCTGTCTGACGTGTGGGCGAAGACGATCTGAAAATGTCAATCGACTACAAATGAGAAGATGGTCTCTCACCTTCGTTCCATTCACCCAAAACAAGTTCTGAACTTTACTCGAGAGCTCAGACTGATGGTACTCAGATGCAGTCGAAAGATGTAAAAATGTAAGGGCTCACCACTACAATATCGACTCTACCGTCTCCACATTTGCTGGTCACAGTAGGGAGGGCTTCTTGAGCGATTGCTATTACCGCCCTGCACGTGTCAATCCCGTTCATGATTCGATGTCAGGTATAGAGATCACCCACCATAACACGATGATAATGAGGTACTTCATCGTAAGCCTGTGGGGTGTTCGGGCTGTGTGACGTTGTATCGAAAAAGAACGATGAAAAGGTGGCAGAAACTCGCACCTGCGAATGCGAAAACGACAAAACGGAAGCTTCCAAACAACGACAGAGACACATGCAACACACAACCACGATCCATCCTCTCAGATAACAGAGTGCGTCCCATTACCTCACTTCCTTCTCTTCACCCCACGTTTCCATCTCGATCATCTCAATCATCTCAATCATCCCAACATCATCATCATCTCCATCTCTTTACAATTTATTTCGTCTTCGTATCGTGTCTCTCGCAAAACAATTTGATCCTCTCGCACGCCTCCTCCAACTTGTCCAAAGGTGGACACGTCACC